CTTTTTATTCCCTTTCTTTTTGCAACAGATCTTTGAATCAAAAGAAAATAAACTTCCACGCCCTTTATTAAAAGTTGTTTTAGCATAAATAGTGCATGAGAAGCCCAATTACCTCCAGGCAGTCCTGTTTCCTAGAGAACATCCTTTTTTGCCTTTTTGCTTTTTTGATACACCAATAGTTGAGTTACCAAAGGCCACACTTTTTATCTTTTTCTTTTGGGTTTTGTTAGGCTACACCACTTGTGGTGTATAACCTTGAAGTCCTCAACATTTTCGGACACTTAGATACCCTTATCCTTTAGTGTAGTAACTTTTTGTCTAGGGGTATTTGAAGTAATTAATCAAGGGTAAAGTAAAAATTCCTAATAGAAACAAAAGCATTTATTAACAATAGTGAACAATGAACATCACCCACATGATGCATTAAATGTTTTAACTACTAATAGTATGCCATTATTTTCTTATATAAATATCCATTCTACCCTTCTAAATGACCAAAAATGCCCCTACTTGAAAATTTTGTATTACAATTCGAGGGTATTTAAGTGTCCAAAAATGTTGAGGACTTTAAGAGTATACACCATCAAGTGGTGTAGCCTAACAAAACCCTTTTCTTTTTGCAACAAATGGTTGGACCTGAGAGAGAGAGAAAAAAAAAAGAAAGAAACCTCCATGTAACTCAGCTGCACAGAGGTACTGAGCATCCTATTTCTGATGAAAAGGAAAATAGTGGTAATGGCAAAATAATCGTTTCACCCTCCACACTTTTCTCCCGTATCAAGTATAGAAAAGGTGACATGAACTCCTTCCACTTCCATAGATTCGTGATTGAGATTTCTAAATGTGGAGTTGTAAGACTCGTAAATTTCCACTTCCTTAAGTTAATTTTCGTTATATAGAAAGTCATGCGCAATTGTTCATATTTTTTTTGATATGTTGAAGTACAAGCACAATTCTCAGAGCAGAAAATAACCATAGCAGTCAAAAGGGTAAGGACTGCATCTATTGTCCAAGGAGGTTGAAAATAGAATCAAATAAGGCCATGAGTGATAATGGATGCCTACATAACAATTCAGTTTATAGCATCACTCAGTATATAGCATATAGTAAAGGGAAAGAGGGCAAGCAGCAGTGTTGGAATATAAACGAAGTCACCTGAATCTTAGAAGGTCCAACAGATTCCTGTTTACTTTTCTTATTTGATGTGGTAGGTTCTTCTGAGGTGCGACTGTCATTTTTTCTTGAATCCTGGGCTGACTTCTTCAGGTGATCCATTGATGGTCGAAGCTGTAGAACTGCTTGAACACGATTAAGGAATAACTGCCAGGCAAGATAAGAATTAGTATTCATGAAAAACAAAAAACATAGTTTGTGCCCCATATACTTAAAATCCACCCAACAGACCATAGATGACTTTGGTAAATGTAGTTCAATGTCTTAATTTGAAAACTTTTATATATATATATATATATATTCGAACCCAACTGCCAACCAATTTGAAGGGAGGAAGCATAAGCAACCTGTTTGAAAGCTGGATTAGTTAATCTGAGGGGCAAAACAAGATATCTGTTTACCACGAACACTGAAAAGGCATCATGAAATAGACACTACCTTGTGACTTCCATCACAAGATCTAATTGCCTTTCAAAGTCAAAGGGGGAAACATGTTTGCATTATAACAAAAGCATGTGGAAAACACCATGCACATACATATGACAATCAACATTGGAATGAAGCTGACGAGGGGAAAACACCATGCACATACATATAACAATCAACATTGGAAGGAAGCTGACCAGGGAGTCTCTTCTCAATGCATTTATACCAGTAGACAGGTCAATAAATAAATCACCAGCATCAGCCAATAAACAACTTATCCAATAATACAAGGAAACATACAAATTTCTTCATTTCATTATTCCGATGTTCAGATAACAATTCCAAAATCAGAATCTAAAATCTATTGAATTATGAAAGATGTCACCAACTTCCCATCCAATCATTTATGTTTTAGGTATTTCAAGCATGGGCATGGCAGAAGGGCAGATGATGTCATAAAGAGAAATACAGCAAGAAATTCCCTGCTTGGAAGAAAACCATACCTTGCTGCCAGAGAGAATCCCAACACCATATCCTGTTGCAAGAGATGCCTCCATTGATGTCAAAGTCTGGAAAGGCTTAGCGCTTTAAGATGTCAAATCGTATTTCATATTTTGACATATAAGTTGAGCGTGAGTACGTTATTTATAGAATTTCTTACTGCAGTAGGAATCACTTCCTTTTTGAAGTAATATCCCCGGACAAACATTACTCTTATGAGAAACAAATCAGAATAAGTGAAATAAAACAAAAGCATAGAATTATCTTAAGGGTGCGGATTGTATAAAGCCTAGGCTCTAAACAATCAAATTAGAGCCTACTTCAAATAGTATAGAGAAATGTGGTTTCAATACTGGAAATCTTAGTGATAGCCTTAAAATATATTTTCATCTTTATTTATAAAGTTCAATGCTTCAAAAATAATGTAGATCGACAGATCTATGAAAACTTCAAAATCTTGAAAATTGACAGTCCAAAAATGTGTTATAAAATATACCATTTGCAAAACTCGAAATCCATTTTTTTCTCATGTCCATGCATCTTGATGTCGAGATGATCAATTTGAGCATATTTGGGCATCAAAACAACTTCTTCCAGTGAAATTTTTGAGGTAGGCTCAAATTTGATTGTTTAGAGCCTCAGCTCTATATAAACTTTTCCCTTATCTTAATAAACAATTCAAGTAACTGAAACTGTGACATTCTGGAACTATTTATCAAAAATAACATTTTGGAACTTTAGTATTATTCTGACTTCTACCTAGTGCATATCTTGTAAACGCCTACTTCACTGATATTAAAGAGCAATCAATATGCCGCAAAAATGGTCCCATCACAGATAAAACCACACTAAAGACATGTCCAAAGAAACATACGCAATTTTAATAAGATTTTTTATATTCTTAACGATATATTACTTATAGAAATAATGTACAAAGGTCCTCACAGGAAGTGAGCTTAAGGCAGCTGACAAGTCCTGTGCTCTATACAAAAAAATGCTTTAGTATTAATAAAAAAGAGTGATTGGCAGCCTACACCTCAAGTGCTCAAGCAAGTGAGTAGAGAAGGAGATAAAAGAAACAGCAGAGTATAAAACGGAAGAAAGATGGTGGGGTTGAGAGAATAGGAGAGCAGAAGTTGTGATAGAGAGGAAAGAAGGTGAGTTACAGGGAAAAAGTGATTAACAAGAGACCGAGTAGTTATAGGAAAGTGAATTAGAGACAGAGAGAGCATATTTTAAAGAAGGGAGGGGAAGAGAGAAAAGTAAGATGGGTGAGAATGGAAGAGAGAGAAAAGAAACAAGTTTCTTTTTTCTTTTCTTTTTTTGTGTGTTGGGGGGGGGGGTGTAGAACAAGGAAGAGAGAGGAATGTCAAAGGAGATCCAAAAAGTATGCATCCAAAAGAGTACACTTTTAAAGGACTTTAGCTTGTTGGTGAGGCAACACTAGCAGTGCCCTCCTTAGCCAGAGCTCTGCAGCCACGTTGGCTTCCACCAAATATGATGGAAGACAACTCAAAGCAGCCTGCATAGCTCGAAAACCCGTTAAATATATAAGAAAAATGCCAAAGTTTCATTCATCCTTTGAGCCCAAAGTACAATATTCTTGGAGTCACCTTCAACTATTAGATTTTCACCCCAAGTTGTATTAGACATTTTCGAGCCTTCAAGGAGAACATTTGTCTCAGTCCAGATGGCGCCAGCAATGTTAACGGAGCCAAAAAAAGAGAATAAGATGCTGCCTTCATAGTCCCTGAAGATACGCCCGAAACCAAAAGGACCTGGGTTCCCTTCGTCACATCCATCAAAGTTGAGCTTTACTGTGCCTTGAATTGAAGGGATCCCCAAAGTAGATCGTTTTGGTTTGAGAGGTTTAAGAGTGATTGCGTCACCCAAATGTGACAGAAAGGCAGACTTGGAGAAAGGCTCTTCTGCTGGGTCTCAAAAGATTCAACCCCTCTTGGGGTCAACACTAGGTGGTGGAAGGAGACGCCCAAAACATCATTTCTTGGGCAGCAGGCACCTCCCCTTCTCCTTGGTACCTCTCCACGATTTTTGATGAAATCAACTATATATGCAGGGATATGAACGTCTTATGGAGGCATACTTGGCGGATGTCAAACAAGCTCGCCGATCTTCTTGCTAAAGACGGAGCACGGGCAAGTGTGGAAGACCCTGACCAGTCCATCTCCTTTTTTGCTCTGGACCATAGAGGCTTCCCTGGACTATAGTTACCTTTTCTTTTTTACTGTACTTGGGCGTCTCTTATAAGCCCCTTTTTGGCTACTCGCTAATTTTTTGTAATCCGGCAGGACAGGGCTGATTTTTTGTATAGGGTCTCTGGACCTATTTTTTGACCAAGGTACCCGCCTCGGGGGTACTCGAGGTCCTCTCTCCCCCCCTTTCACTTGTATTCTCTCTCTTATAGCAATACAAAGTTAACATTATCAAAAAAAAAAGGCAGACTTGGAGAAGTGTTAAAGGAGTTTGCGGTTTGTAGCCCAAAAGATGGCAAGAATTTGGGAATGATCTGCAATATTTGATCTCGTCTTTTGTTTTCCTCTAAAAATTCTTGAGTTTGAAAGATGGACAATGTGATCTAGGCAAGTATATCCAGTTGAAAAAATTTTGTTCTTTTTTTTATTCATATTGGTTAGAACACTGACTGGTGTCCAAAATTACAAGTATATTCATAAAAATAAACCCTAAATCTTCTCATGCGTACAATTACAATTCTTTACAATCATATAAAAATACAATGCATGAAGAATCAAGAAACATGGAGCCATAGAATTACCGAACACCTTGCCTCAAGTTACCCACAAGGACTTCGTACACCCCATATCGAGTCTCCTCCACCAATGGCACACGAGATCTCGGTTCTAACCTTGTCTCATAATTCAAGAAGCCTACACAAAACCTCTTGAGAATATGACATGGGACGAAAGCAATCTCATACCACAAGACATAGGCACATGTACTATCTGCTCTAGGGCATGTCATCCCTTGGTGGCTTGGGCTTGCCCCTTAGGGTTTCACCACACACACACACACACACAATGTTTGAAACCCTAAAACAAAGAGAAACAAGAGAGAGAGAGAGAGTGGGGGGTACCTGCTTGTGGGTGAAAGAGAGAGGCCAATCCAATTCCAAGTATGTAGAGAACACACCCCATATAAAATCTAGGGTATTGGGGTCTAGGGTCTTTCCATCATTACGAGATTTAATCCTGATCGTAGATCACGGAGACCTGTGGGGTGAAGAGATCTTAGCCCTTCATTCCTTAGATCAACCATCATGATTAGATGAATGAGCTAGAACCATTATCCCTCAGTTTCCATAACTCTATTCCTATCAAATATTTGTGTAGAGAAAATACTATGTATTTACATATTAGATTTCAATCAATCTCTACACCTTCGTATTTTAAAACAATCAATACTCATTTCACAAAACCTTCCTTTAATTTCAAATCAATTAGGTGGCTTCCATCACAAGCCACACTCAAAAGGAAAGAATGAAGTAAGTTGAGCTTCCCACACATGGTGGGCAATGTGGGCCCCACACCCCCACCCAATGGGCTCATATGTGGCGAGCCCAAAGTCCTAATGGTCCCCCATACGCCCAAAAGAATTTTATATTAATAAAATGAATTTTAGAAAACCAATAAATATTTTTTCCTTCTCTATGAATTAAATAAATCTAGAAATTTGATTTTTGCTTATTTAAAAATCCTTTTTCACCAAAATAAAATATCCAGAGAGATCTTTATACTTAAGAGTATTAAAGTCAACTAATAAATGAAGGAGACACGATCCTAGCCCATGGATTACAATTTCCTCCCTGAGGAGGAGTCCAAGACCCATACTAGCACAATACCTCATGAGTCCCTCTAACACAATCCAGTGTTGTAGGTAAACATCTCTTCGGCACATGTACACGACACACCCTCACTTAGACGGCTACTTCCAAGACGGCTAGTGTACATACCGTGCAATGGTAATGAAGAGGCCCTTGTCCTCACTGGCCAACCACCGCACACAGGGGTCACACCCAGTCCCTTAGCCAACCACCTTGAGCACAACTCCAACCTCACCAAGGGATGCAGCACATCAAAACCCTTATCAGTTGTGCACAAATGCCCAGGGCTACAAGTTTTTAAACATCAACCTGAGCCGTAGCCCATCAAAACTCAGGTGAGTCACAGCATCAGTGATACCTCACAGACCCTAGACCATGCCACAAAGTCCATTCAGACCACGCTCCACTAGAGCTATCACATCCCTATAGTCATAGTTTTACATGCTCTCATAAGGCCCTTAAATGGCCACACAACCCCAACAGAGTTTTTCTCCCCAAAGATCGTCCATAGAGTGGAGAGCCCTCCAAAGGAAGATGATTGCTTTTGGATTGGGGGCGCGGGGTGTAGAAGAAGGCCAAGAAGAGTTGTTTCGGTGGAACTGGTGATCACCACTGCCAATTGAAATCTTTCAAGTTGATGGCCCAAAGAGCATCAATGAAACTACAATGAAGGAAGTGGAGACTATGAGTTTCCTATGCTTCCAAGCACATACTAGAATCGATTCGCAAGTGGAAAAACCTCTTATTTGTAATTGTTCCACAGTGAGATTATGATTGCAGATCACCAGCCAACCAAAGGTGTGCTTTTGGGAAGGACTTTATAGAACGATGATATTAAGAAAATTCCAGTATGGGACTAGGTCCAAATTCTTTTCATCACAATCAAAGTTGGAAATGGAAAAGGCTAACAAAAGACTACGAAGGGTCAGGAGGACTTCGGTCTCATAGTCCGAGAGTGATCTTCTAAAGGTGGTGTTCTAAACAACTAAGTGTTGAGAGATGTTCGAGCATTGGACTACCATGGCATTGGGAGGGCCGATAATTTGGAGAAGGTTTGGCTACAAGACTTTGAGAGGATGTGATCCAATCAGGTGTTGGGCAATAAGACACATGTTGCCTCGGCTCACCTTGTATCTAATGAAGGATAAACCATTGCCAACATTCATAGATACTCATCTATACCATAGGGCCAATTTCTTCGTACCTTAAGAGAAAAACCAACCAAGAATGTCTATTCCATATATGCGAAAAAAGACCTCTCACCATAGAAGGTCATGGCCATTGGCAAAATGCCACCACCATTTCCCCAATAGCGCAAGGTTCATATGTATACGATTCTTAAATACCTAACCCTCCAAGATGTTTAGGTAGGTACATTCTTTATTTTAGTTTTTTGAAAGGAGTGACATTTTATCAATATAATATAAGTTTTATCTTGGTATACTTTGTCCCAAACAACCAGATAGATATTTCTTTAAGAGATGTACCATACCAAAGGAAGGATTCATGAGACGTATTATAGACTAGACAAGACTAGAAGGCACGAGGAACAGGAAGATACAATAGATGAGTATATTGGAAAGGATGGCTTTGATGAGTGTAATGCAACCCCCTAGAGAAAGAAACGACCTATTCAAAGAACCAAGCGCCTTTGAAGCTCTCAATGACATGGCCCCAGTGTGCATTACTAGTTTTTCCAAGTACAAGGGGAGGCTGAGATACTTGGGTTGAGTGGTTGTTTGTTCCACATCCTAATCTAGAGGTGAAAGCCAAGAGGGTGTCAAGGATGACCACAATTTCCATTAGTTTCAATTTAGCCATATTGATCTTCATCCCAGAGGCAACGTTGGAGCACCTCTGGGGTGTTACAAAATAGTAAAAGACAAGAGTGCCATTGCATATTGGAGGCGAGATATAACATTGTCTGATCTAGAAGTTTTGAAACCATAACATATGGCCATGAGAGATGGACCTACTAAAAACTTCAGCCACAATAGCAAAGAGAAAGGTGAGATAACATCTCCTTGACAAAGAGCTCTAGTTGATAGAAGCCCATTTTGGCTAGAACTTGATCAAGTGTCAACCAATCAACATGTTCACATGCTTTCTCCAAGTCAAATTTGAGGATGATACAAGGGGTCTCGGAAAGATGTTTGGAGTGGATCACTTCAAGAGAGCACAGGGCACCATCCAAAATCTGGGATTGTGAACAAAACCACTTTGGTTGGAGAAATGATGTCTCCAAGGATTAATTCGAGCCTAGAAGCAAGACATGTGGTTAAGATCTTGTAGGAGGAATTGAGAAGGCTAATTGGTATGAAGTCATCAATGTTGCTAGAACATCGACTTTGGGGACCAAGGTGATGAAAGTCGCATTCATGGTAATAACACCTCTATGAAAGAATTCACTAAAAAAGGCAAGGACATCATGAGCTATAATTTCCCAGAATCTCTAGAAGATTGCTATGAAAAACCATCAAGTCCTAGGGTTTTGTCTTTTCTCCAAGGTACGAAAATTTGCCCGTACCGAAGGGGTAATAGGCGGGCTGCTTAGGCAACTAAGGCTTTGCCTAAGCGGCACCTTGAGCCCTTGGAGAGGAAAAATGCCCTTCGCAAGAGCATTTAGGTACTTCTCCTCCCTCTTTTAGAGAAGAGAGGGGGGGAAGGTTTTGGGGCCCATTGCAACCCCCAAAACCAGTTTGCCTCTCTTTAGAGAGAGGAAAACTTTAAAAAAAAAAAAAAGATTCAAGATTTTTTCCAATATAGAAATTGTTTTCAAACTTTTCCAACATTTAGTTTATTTATTTTTTTTCCAAGATTTTTTACAGTTTATCTCTCTTGAAAGGCCAGTGGATTAAAATATTTTTCTTAGGGTTTGTTGATTTAAAGTTTTTTTTTTTTTGCTTGTTTGTTTTTGTATTTGTAATTAATTCCAAGTTTATGTCTGAATCCTATTCAAGGGTGGATTTGGGTTTGTGATCAATGACATTTCATTACAATAACGTAACACAATCTCAAAGAAATCTCATGGAACTTAATTTAAATGGATTTTTATAGGTTATTGGTTGGTCATTTGGTCTTATATTTGTCTCTTAATTGAAGAAGGCCATATAATGTGATTTTCTTTTCTTATTTTGTTTCTATTGCATTGTTCTTGTGCATTTTTTTCTTGTTTCATGGCATTGATGAACTGATAATGTAGAATGTTGCTCTTGGGAAATGGGCAATCTTTTTAGCTTTACTTTTAAACTTGTAGTAATCCTATTTCAAATTTGTGATTGATGTATCATATATCTATGATGTATTAAGGACTTATATAATTTCTTTATTTGTAGTTGTTGGGGGGGAGGGGTGAACGTTTCTAAGAACAATTGGTGGGGTATGGCTTCCAACCAACCAAACCCCTTAAACATCCCTGCAGCCTAGAACCCAATTTCATGGACAGGCCATCTAAGGAATTTGGCACCCCACCGCCCTAGCCGCCTAGGCAACCTGGACCCCTGGTCGTCTAGGCGGCCTAATCCACATTTTTTTAACATTGCTTTTCTGAAATCAGCAATAGCCAGGGAAATTTCTTCTAGGTCAAAGGAATTTTCTAGCCAATTAGCTTTCTCCTACGAGATAGAAAGGAAGGAAAGATCGAAAATAACGGGGTGAGAGCCGAGGACCAAGTTGGGCAGAAAAGAGGTTCTGAAAAAAGAAAATGATGGTGAAATTAATCCTAGTGGGTCAAAGAAAAATTCCTGGCCAACAAAAATATGATTGATAACGTTACGCCTATGTCTGGAACTAGCAATCTTGTTGAAAAAGAAAGTATTCATTTCTCCCACCTTAAGCAATTTGATTCTAGAGCAATGAAAACCAATAGGTTTCCTCTTTCTTAAGGAGATCCAATATCTGGACTGGGACCTCCTGTCTCCTGGAGAGTTCGGAAGAGCTAAGAGGTCTCGATTCTTTAAGAAAGTCAAGGCCGTTGATCTCGAAAAGGAAGGAATTTTTGGCAGAAGCAAAATTGGCAAGGATATTGCAACTCCAAAGTATGATAACAGATTTGAGGAATTGGAAATTTGAATTAGAAAGGTTTTGGTTCACAATGTGTTTGTGGTCAGAAGTAGGTCTGGGTAAGGTAAGGGAGCACGAGCCAGTAAAGAAGTCCATTCCTATGAAGCCAGGAAATAATCTAGCTAAATCAAAGTGGGGGTAGAAGAGTGTTAGACCAAGTGTAGGAGGAACCATTGAGAGCGATTTGTAAAAGGTTATTCTAGGCAATGAAATTGGAGAAACCAATCATACTGACTGATGCTAGCAGGGCTATGGGTTTCATTGAGCCATCCAATAGTATTGAAGTCCCCGCTGATCATCCAAGGGCTGGGTTTAGTAAAAGCAATAGCATTGAGCTCCTGCCAGAAGGCTTCCCCCAAGATCAGGTCTGTCAGGACCATAAACCATTGTGAATTTCCAAGTGATATTGTTGGAGTTCCTAGAGATGATGATGGATATCAAGCAGGATCCAACATAATCAGAACTGAGAGTATGAAGAGAAGGGCTAAATAAGTTCTTCAAATAAAAAAGGATTTAAACTATCCAATGCGTAACCCAAAAAATTGAGAAAAGAAAGGATGTTCTCAAAATTCATATAACTCTGAATAGCCTTTTCAGTACACCTTGAGCTACTTGGCACTTGGCAGTATAGTGCACCCATGCACAAGTTCTCCTAGGAGATGACTTCATAAACAACAACAGGATATTATCAACCACTAAATAAGATTGACCCAAAAACTAGTGAAATTACCAAAAAAATAACACAAAATCTAATGAGCGGATTGGATCACATCATTAATTTGATCAAGCAATCTCTTTACAAGCAAATGACAAGGTCAAACTTGGACGGCCAAATGGACTCTTCATATTCAAATGCCAATGAAGAAACTCTCTTATAACCAAAAGTTTTCTCCAACAATTGGTAGCAGAAAACCTCACCGTGTTTGTGCAATGAATGAAGAATAACACTTCGTTATGTTTTGTTTTTAGAGCTATAACTCTTCATTATGTATTTTTTTGACAACTATAACACTTCATTATGTTCAACTAAAATGCAAATGATTCTTAGGAACCAACCTGCTTTGTTATTCTCATGTCATCATCAGTGTTCGGGTCATAATATGGACTCTTGTCATCGACGGTCAAATCGAATTCTACCTTGGATTGTTTAGGCCTTATTCTCACCTGAACAAAATAAATAAAGTTTAAGGAAGCAAACCCAAAAAAAAGCTACTCAAAAACCATAACTCAAAATTTATAGAAAGCAATTCAATATCCTAGTAATGCACTTTAAAACATAATAAACATGAGAAAGTATTGATAAGCAATGTACTCGGCAGCCAACCTCTTGACACCTTTCATCGAATTCATACGGACGCCAGCAAGCCCTAAGAGGATACTGATTTATATAAAGCTGCAATGTTAAAAAATAAAAATTAAAAAATATAAAATAGAGAGAGCTGCAAAGAATAAACAATCCATGAAATCTATACTCCACTTGAAGCCAGAAAAATAAATATATTTAGTTATATTATGGAAAAAGTGTTTCCCGATTCAAAAAGCAAAAGAGTGTCTCTTTATATTGCAGAAGGGTGAATACCAATAAAAAAACTTGTTTCTTCAAGGACAAAACTAGAAAAGGGAAAAATAAATTAAATCATTATAAAACAACACATTTCCAGGCTGCTCCTGATTATTTATCCAGAAAGAAAACATGATACAATCATAACTGAACTGTATCTCTGCATCTCAATGAATAACCTGTTTCATAATTTTGGGGAAAAAATAACAAAATGGAAGCCAGGACTGCATTGATCAATAAACACCAAAAAAAATAGAAAATGCTCCAAGTTTTATTCATTGTAGTAAAAAAGCAACTGCAAACTATTTCTCAAAAAAAAAAAAAAAAACTGCACAATCATAAGAATGGACTGAATGTAAACAAAAACAAAAATCTCCTGGCTAAAGATAAAAATCCCTTTCTCAGCTAATTTGCATAAACCTGCAACTTAATTAATCAATAAACCTGCTGCTTCACACCCAGCTCGCCTCTTCTACCAAATAAAGAAAGACAAAAACCAATATTCAATGAAGCAAAACCTGACCTGTGTATCAGGATCAATAGGCGAAGGAACCAGAAACAAATCGATTGTTCTCACCAATCTATCTTCCCCTCCTTTCCATGAAGAATCGCTCGATCCCAACCCCTCACTTTCTATCTCCATGTCCACCTTTGCTTCCTCCATAACCTCTTCCATTGAATCCTTTTTAACCTTCAATTCCACATCCTCCTCCATTTTCACGCGAGATACTCCATTTTCCGTTGGTTCAAGCTTCACTTTCGCCATAACCTCTGCTATCCCTTGTGCCCCCTTTCCCATGGAAAACCCTTGATCGATAGTCTCCGAAATTTCTGGTGGCTTCCGCTTCACTGAAGGGCCTTGATTGAGAGATGCGGAAGGTTCTGATACAGTGCCATTCGAGTTAGCTTTAGGGTTGGGGTTTCTGGAATTGGGACGAGGTTTGAACTTGGGCTGGAACTTTGAGGGCTTAGAAGTGGGGCCATGGGAGGCTAGAGGGTCTAAGAGCTCGTCCCGCGCAGAGGCATCAGAAGGGACGAAAGAAACTGACAAGTGAGGATCGTTGTTCGCCATTAGGGGAGGGTTGCAGAAGCCGTGGCCGCCTCTTTTGTATGAGCAGGATTTGATTTAGTTGCACTGAGTTTTAGAGGGAGATTTTTAGAGAGAGGGAGAGAGAGAATTGTTTTTGAGAGAGGGAAAGGGATTCAGAGAGGTTTGGAGGTAGAGATTAGTGAGAAGAGAGAGAGAGAGAGTAGAGAGATTAGTGAGCAGAGACTACAGTGAACTTGGGATTATACTGTGAGACTCTAGGTTATTCGTTTCCGTTGGATATCCAATCGAGTGGTTGTGGATAAATCATTTTTTGTGCGCATAAAAATTTTCTCAGGCGTCCAACTTCACATCGTATGGCAAGGGTATTGTTGCATTTATGTTCTATAATAAACACTATTATGTTTTAAAAAATTTGCATAGGACACCAATAGACATAAAAGATATTAGATTTAAGTGGGCCGGCCATATGTAAGACAGACCATTACAAAATCCATGTTAGAGATGCGAGTTGGTTCAAGTAAAAGACTGAAAAAGAAAAATGGTAGAGACCTAAAAAGATATGGTTGGAAGTAGTAAAAATATACGAGTATGGTCCTTAATAGAGCATAGTAGATGACCACGATTGATGTTGCCGATCCCAATTAGATGGAAAAAGATTTTAACAATGGTGACGAGTAAGCATTCTTATTTTATATTTTTTTTATTTTTCTAAAATTGCATGAGATCATTACCTATAATCCTTTTTATTAAAAATACGCGGTCGTGCTTTTAGCTCCATAGCATCCCATTAAAAAGGAGCATTAGGGATATACTTTCCCTTTTTTTAATTACACATGTTACAAATATTTGGTCTAGTCATTGTTTTTTAAATTGAACTAGTGCGTCAAACTGGTCACCCACCGATTTTGAGAGTCGGCTGAGTTAGTGACTCGGCTTGGCCAATTTACCAACTTAAATAGGAAAAATGGAAACAAAATATATTAAGAAAAAAATCTTTAAATAAAGCGTAAGAGTCATTCTAAAACTACAGGTTTATAATAAAAACATATTTTTAATACAACTTTTAGGCCTTTGCAGTCAAGGCCTAAGTTGGGGATATAATCTTATTATCTATCGATCTCGTTTCCACTCTAGAAAACACTTGTTTAATGATAATTTTAGCCATCTTATTACAAATCAACATTGAGAATGATCGTGTGCATATTTTATTTTTAAGTAGCGATTTTTCCTTTGTCAATACAAGTTTTGTCTTATATTGACAAATATATATAACAAGAATAGAAATAAATCACAGACACCTGTATTATGCGACTTACCATAAAATACAAGATATTGTACCTAACATTCCCAAATATACTAACTACAATATATATTTTCCATATTAACCTAGTAGACAATATATACTTTATTTTCACAACTGCAACGAAAATATCAACAATATCATTTCTAATGACTGAAATACCAACATTGATTTTGTAGTTGTGGAATAAAGCTATTGGCAACTAAAATTTTGACAGTTCAAAACCCTTTTTAGAACAATAAATTTCTAAACTAGTTTTGGTAGTCGCAAGGTTTACTAATCAACTGGACACCTGTAGAGTTTGATGTAAATAGACCTCAGCTTTGTATATGCAAACTACACTTATATATCCAATTTTGGATCAATGAAAACAGTTAATAATTCAGAAAAGATAATACATATTCTCACTTGAACCTATATCAGCTCCTTGCCTCTTTGATTTGCTATCCAATGCTGAATTCGGCAATGTTGACGTATATATGAATCAATATCCACCTCTTTTTAAGTTTGATTCGGTAGTTGCAAAGCTTACTGATCAACCGGATGCCTATAGAGTTTGACGTGAATATATATCAACTTTGTATATACAAGCTACACTTGTATATCCAATTTTGAATCAATGAAAACAGTTAAATACTTCAGAAAATGCAATACATATTCTCACTTGAACCTCTGTCTGCTCCCTGCCTCTCTGAATTGCTATCAAGTGCTGGATTTGGCAATGTTGATTATATGCGACTCGATCTCCACCTCTTCTTAAGTCTAATTAGGACCACTCCCTCTTCCTTTCTGGTATCCATCTCTAATACTTCGTTGAACATGCCATTGGCATCACAAATACTTGAAATTAGCATGAAACAGAGGCCAAGTCACAAAGACCTTTGGTTGTGCTTAGCATGCTTTCGTGGTGCTATCGGTCATGTTTGACTTCATAAATCCAAACTATCATTAGAGAAAATCCTCCACCCTTCGTAGAAAATGCTTGTTTGGCAACAAGTAGATACAACACCAGTGAATGTAATATGATCCACATCCACACCCTCATCTTGTGTTCTGGAGAACAGACGACCTCTTTGCCATGTCTGTGTTTAACGTGTAATCTGATCCACATTCACCAGCCTTCAGAGTCCTTACATCCTATAGTTGCATCATGGCCCTTCTTACAATGGGGTATGGACATCGTAGGGCTTATTGACCTTCCTTCAGCAATGGGCAATGTTTTTATTCTAACAGCAACAAATTATTTCTCTAAGTGGGCTGAAGCGGTCCCCCTTAAGCAAGTTTTTGGGACAACGGTAGCCCACTTCGTTCGACATCATATCATATATCGCTTCGGAGCGCCCGACCGGATTATATCTAACAATGGTCCTCAATTTAGGAGTCACCACAATGATCGCTTGGTTAACCAGTTCGGTTTCGAATGGAGGTACTCGACTATGTACCACCCTCGGGCGAATGGCTTGGCTAAGCCCTTCAATAAGATTTTGTACAATGTTTTAAGAAAATCCGCATCAAAGACGAAAACGAATTGGCATGAAAAGCTTCATGAAGCACTATGGGCTTATCGTACTACTACACAAAATGCTACTGATTCCACTCCTTATTCTTTAGTTTATGGGGGTGAAGCAATTTTACCTCTCGAAATTCAAATCCCTTCACTGCGAGTCGCTATTCACCAAGGAATATCCGAAGATGAGAGAATCAAGCTTCGGTATTAAGAATTTGATGCGCTCAATGAAAAGAGGCTAGAAGCTTAGCAAAACCTTGAACTCAACAGAATGAAGAAGGCTTTTGACAAGTCCTTCAGGGTCCGCTCATTCACTCATGGCGATCTAGTTCTAGCCGTCAAGAGGCCGATTGTTATGCATGGACGTCGTAAAGGGAAGTTTGAGCCTAAGTGAGAAGGTCCATTTATAGTCAACATACTGGAATTTCCTGAGGGAGAGGAGGCAATGCCCGCTATCAATGGGCGATACCTAAAGAAGTACTATTCGTGATGCATATTCAAAGGAAAGAGACTCAATGCAAAAATATTCGAGACAGTCCAAACAAAGTCTAACTCTTTTTATTGTAGCAAAAACAAGTTACAAGCAATAAGCCAAAAAGCCCATTACTAAGGAGATTATAATTCTCTTATATCGAAGGAAAAGAAAACAGTTGAAACCAAAAGTGTCACTCTTGCATCTGAGAATAAAAGGACGGTTACAAACCAAAATTTGCAGTGTTGCTCTTGCATCTAAGGATAAGAGGACGGTTACATGCCAAAAGAATTTATCTCCTCGTGGAGAAGAAGCAAACCCACCAAAGAAGCACCCTCATCATGAAAAAGAAATAAAACCACTTGGAGAAGAAAGCTTCAATTCATCTGACCAGTAAGAGAATGGTTACAGGGCAGAAGACGAAGTGAAACCACTCGAAGAAGTTAGCTTCAGTTCATTCGACGTGTATGTCAAACATACAAGCCAGATATCTCATCTGACGTGTACATCAAACATACAACACATAATTCATTCGACGTGTGTATCAAACAGACAAAGCAGGCTGCTCTGGCAAGGAACGGACCTATGATGGAAAGCATACCATTTTCACATTGCATGCCCTTCCACAGAACAACATGGACTTCACTGTTGTGCTGGAGGACTTGGCATCCAACAAGTATCACAAGCCATGCCTCACCATCATTCACCACCCTTTGCCCGCCCATGTCAGCGCCACGCATGAACATTGACGTACGTAGCTCATCAACGAGCGCCGCAAATCCCTCATGTAACTTACTGCCACATGCAAGCATCATTGTACGCATCATAACCGGCCATACGTGCTGATGAGCGTCGTCTGAAGCCAGTTCTGGCTGTGTCCTCCAAAGGCTAACGCTGGCTTTGCTCCTAACTCCTAACGTCAACTGCCTTTCTTGAGGATCAGTGTCGGCGGTGTCAACGCTGGTTGTATTTTTAACCATCAGTGCCGACTGTGCTTTTATTAGCGTCGGCCCTGTCACAACTGTTCGCTTCTCGAGACTCCTCGTTTTCAAGGCCTAAGTTTATTGACCCCCTTAATGGTCGCATGATTTTCGAGGGCAACCGTCCACCTTTTGCGACGGTCCACCTCTCGCAACCGTTCACTTTCCCTGTGACGATCCACCTCACGCAAGCGTTCGATTTCCCTGCGACGGTCCACCTCCCACAACAGTTTGCTTTCCCTGCAACGGTCCACCTCACTCAAGCGTTCGGTTTCCCTGCGACGGTCCACCTCCCGCAACAGTTTGCTTTCCCTGCAACCGTACACCTTCCCTGCGTCGGTCCACCTCCTACAAACCGTTCGCTTCTCCTATGACGTTCAACCCCCAACTACTGTTCGTTCCCTGACCCTTCGGTTTTTGCCGGAACTCCCCTTCAAGATGGTTGAAAACCTTTGCAAACACCGCCAACAAACCTTGGAAACCACTTAAAAAACCACTTATGCCCCCGAAAACCTCTGCAATTTTCCCTAAGTTACCGATAAATCGTTGATAACTCCCCATAAGTTCCCAAAAAAACTCCCCGGACAACTCTCCTTTTCTTCCTCCCTTTTCCTGCAACTTCACCAATCCCTGGCAGAGTTTGGATCGCTGAAACTTTCCCCGCAAAACCTTTGTTGGAATCCCACTGCTTGCCGAAACTTCTACCGGGCACCCTCTGCTCATTGTTAAAGAAAATATTTTTGTTTAAGTTTTTACCCTCAGTGAAAAGTGAAGAAAATGGAGTTTTACCCCCTTATATAGCCAACGCTACCCTCAAATGCCCCTCAAACTGGGAATCCCAGTCGCGTCCAAGGAAAGCTAAGCGATGATGAGCCAGGTTGGGCTT